TCGGCAGTAATAACACTCATAACATTTCTAGGTATGTTAATAGCTATAAAACCACTAATAAATGACAGTAAACTATCACTGAATAATGGCATCACCTTATATAAACAATCATAGGACCTCTTCTCCTGTACGATTGTTCAACTTGGACAAACGCGGCTAAATATAACTTCAACAAAATTCAGATAATTCAAAACAAATATCTAAGAACTAGCACCCAAGCCTCCTAGTTCATTTCCAATAAACAATTGCACCACGACCAACCTAAAACCCATCGCACACCACAAAGCCATTCTTGCCAATAATTTACTTTCTACCTTACTCGTCATTAATCAAGATTGAGGAAAATGTAATGAAAATCAAACTAGATTAAAAAGCAGATATCCTGTCTATTCTTATCTGAACCCTTTTGCCAATCTTAATGATTTTTAGAGTTGCTCCGGGAGTCCCCTCGACAATTGTTTTTTAGATTACATTTAGTTTATAAGGAATTAGATTTACGCCAACAATACAAATGAAGAGTTTCATGTAAATTGAACTTTGTAAATCAATCCTAAAAATCTATTTTAGAAATGAATTTTGGAAAAATCAGCTAAACGGTTCTGGCAATAGTGATGACCTCAGACGAACGGACAGACTGACAGGCGGACATACGGACAATCAGGTTTTGCTATCAATCGATTTTTGGATATCAAGGACCCACAAGACATGGACACACAACGTGTGCTAGTAATAATACGTAATTTGCTAGGAACAATAATTATCCATTTTTTCGTTATCAGGGACTGGCAATAAGCGTTTTACTGTCGAAAATTCGACGTTGCCAGGCGCATAGTTGCAATACCTGCTCTTCTTTCGAAGTAATGGTAAAAAAATAAAAAAAAGGAATAAATGATGAGCTCAGGGAAGTAACAGAATTGATTTATAAAAGGTATGGTAAAGGTGGATGGCACGGTGAGTAGAAAATTGTGGGTAGAAAATAGTGGTGCAGGACGTACTTTCTTGCATTATTTCTAATGTAATTTTCGAAAATTCAGGGAGTTAAACGGAAATGAGGTTTTCGCCATACTCGTAAGCGCTCTTTGTTCTATTCGTGAAAAAAGTTCATGAACAAATTTTGAGTGGTTTTTGAAAAAAGCATTTTTTGTATAATTTGCATTATCTTCAAGCAGAAGTTATGTAAAAAGAAGTCGTATTATCAATAAATTGTACATTTTCTTTAAATACGAAATTTTAGAACAGATTTTAACACAAAAATTTCTATCTTCATTTATGTTATTTTGCCATATTCGAAAGAATAGTGAGTTCTCCGACAATGCGACTAACATCACTTTAATACCACATACGAGCAAACAAATTAAATAAAGCGATTGGTGTTGTATCACAAACATTCTTGCATTATCTGTAACTGTTCGCATTATTTGCAGCACAGTATACGGACAAGCAAGGATAATTTTACATATAAATTGAACATCCAGAACTAAAAGTCATCAAATATATCAACATATATACGGAAACAACGGTATCATTACATGATGGTCATCTTCTGCATATCTGTCTCATGTTCTTCCAGACTTTTAATAAAGTTGAATGGATCAGTAAATAAAGCCACCTTATCTTATCTCTCACCCATACATTCGCCAACAATGAAATTCTCGGAATAACTTCTCAAATATCCATCTCATCATTGTATAACAACGCCGCCAACAGTGGTAATATGAAATTTTGCTATAAAAGTTCGTATTTCGTTCTAAATTTGGTACTCTATTTTTCAAGTTTTCTTTCATATCACATTTAAATCGTATTTTTAATAAAAAACCTAATTTGGATAGTTTCAATTTAGGTTTGCGGATTGTTTGAAAGAAAGTACATCGATACTGCTGGCATATAGGTGGCCAAATTATTTCAAATTTGGTGCCTTACTTCATATACAATCGATTATAACCATTCATTGCGGCGAATTAGCAGTAACGGGCTTACATTTCAAACGTCCTGCGCACAAAATACGCTTATTTTCTCCTCAAAAACAGCCGACTGCATTTCAGAGCGACAAAGAAGTTATTGGTGTAAAGAATCTGTTTGAAGCGGCCTTCAAAGATGGCCGTGGGAGCGCGCCACATCCCAGATGCCGAAGCCCAGTGGGCGTAAGCAACGCTCTACATTGTAGAGATTTTTATTATTCTAAATTTCAGATTTATTTCAGATTTCAAATTTATTTAGTCAAAAAACAGTTAAAGCTGCATGTGACGTATGCGGGAGACGATCATCTACGCACGTTAAAATTAAGAATTTCATCTATATTCGCAGCCTCAACAAATACATTGAGGGCCAATTTCTCCGGTGCCGTTAATCGTATGAAGCAAGCACATTCTTGCGCAATCTGTAATGTTCCATAACAAACATTGTGTTAAGTATACTATATGAAAAGTGTGACCAAGCAAACTGTGCATTCATGTATCAATATAGTGAGTTGTGTGGTCAAGAATAAACTTGTTTTGTGCAAATTTTTTTGTTTCTGACTGAACCCGCTAACATATGGTGAACCCTGTATGAGGTATCATAAAATTGGGATTTGGAACTGCACTGGAAACTAATTAAAATGAAGTCCATTTAGCTCAAGCAAAGCAAGGCAGGCCTCCAACACGTATAGCAGTAATTGTTTAAAGTTTGACTTTTTTACCACTGCCCTATTTATGTGAGAGTGAACTTTGCATTTTTTGGTCCTAATTTTATTTTTCATTATTTGACAATGTATACTGTTTTTAACAATTTTATCTGATGAATGAATAACGATTGATCGATTATTTTTAGCATACTTAACAAATAATTATTTCTGCATAATCCGTTTATTTCTTACTCAACGTACGCTTTCATAGAACACAATAAAATGAAAAATCAACGCATTATATTATTAAAATGAAGAATCAAGTAGAAATTACCGTAGTTTTTGAATATGTTGCTACGTTTCCCAATATTTTAATTCATCTAAGAGAAATTTGCAAGAAAAAAATAAGTGTTCTATAAATACGACAGTGGTAAAAACCAGTATCAATGGCAGCGACATACTTGAAATATTTCTAACAGATTGCTTGTTATTTCGATTGAGAAATACAAACGCGAGCTATTATTGAGTGCGCGAGACCTATTGAGACCAGAGATTGGTCTGTTCTTTTAAGCAAGTTTCGAGTTAATTCGCAAAAAGACTGGGCAATAAACGATGATGTGCTAAGAGTGTGCTAAGAGACGAGTGACAGAAGAATCGTTTGCACGTGATGTTAGCACCGCCACGTCAATGAAAACCAGTATAACAACAATTACTATTCATTGCACATCGTTTGTACCAATTTGTTCAACAATAATATTTGTCTGTACCAAAACCACTTACAAGTTAGAGCAGTATCAATTAAAGGGGTGCCAATTCCACACTGCCAACTCCACACCATCCTAAGAATTTTTGGAACTACTCTAAATCGTGTGTACGGAACTGTTGCACTAGAATTTTCGTATATACAAAAAACTAATTGAGATAATGCCATTTTAAAGGAGGGGTGAGAGGCTCACGGTTACCCTAACACCAGTCTAGTCACCACCCCCGCCAAAATTTTGGAACATTTCTAAATTGTTTGTACCTTGTTTGTACTAGAATGTTCAATTAGAATTTTCGTTTGTACCAAAAAATAATTAATATCGTACATCATTTAAATAAAATCAATAAATGAAAATTTCAAAGAATTTTTTATGGAAAAAATATTTTTTTAAGATATGCAAACTTGACATGCATAATGATATCCTTTCTTCCCACTGTCCTATTTATAGGACAGCAAAATTTTCTAATTTGTTAAAGTAAGTGTGTTAAACAGTTCATGAATTTTATCAAAAGATTTTATGGCATTGCAATAAAAATATAACCATTTTAGAATATGAGAAAAAATCGGTAAAGAATGGGTTTGCCGATGACATTTGCATAAAATGTTCTTACTGAAAACAGTTTTCCGACTTGACGAGACATACTTTCTGGCTTTATTTTCTTCTAGTTTGTTCATCTATTCAATTTATCACTCGAAGCACGGATATTTCAACGAAGCAATACACTCTGCTTTCCCATAAACACAAGTTCTGGTCAAACAAAGAAAGTTATACTACCTCTTTATCTGGACAAATCGCCTGTTGTAAATAGTAAGGCTTGTAAGAAAGAACAGTACTACAATACAAAAACAGATATATTCTCTTATGTAAATGGAAGATCGGACGTCCCGAAAATTAAACATGTGCTGGACCATGAGTTTCACGGCGACACTCACGTCGAGAGCTTCAAGGTGGAGGCAGAGAGTAGGCGATGCCAAGCTCCTTAATGTCGGGCTTTGCCCGGTAACCCACCAGTTGGTACCCCTGGCTCGTCGAACTTTGGGCAGGGTTGGGCAAAGGACGTTCTCCGGAATGCTTCGGATCCCACGTATAGAAGTCGGACGGGGACCAGATAACCACCTGTCAGGTTGCCTACGTTTTGGCGGTACTTACGTCAATAGCTTTAAGATGGAGACAGGATAAGGGAAAGAGACCCCTAGCCTCTGTTGGGTTCTTGGCTTCGTCGTGGCAGAGGCTCGATACTCTGGGGAAAGAGGAGAGCAGTTCTGAGCCGGGACGGCGGCCTCACTCACACACTGAATGCGGAGGTTGCCGTGACAGTAAACTTCGTTCGATCAGGTTCAGGATACCAGCGTGTCTGCGTATTTATGCGCTGGCCCTGGGAATTATGCCCCCTGCGGGAACATGAGTATTGCGTGGAATGGTAGCCCACGCTGGGTAAACGATGTCCATCAGAGTCTTTAAAGTTTTAGCCAGTGATATCATTAACATTGAAGAAGGCACACGTCTTTTTAAAGTCTTTAAGAATCATCCATACCTAATGTAAAGAAAACGGTACATCAGTTTTTTTGTAAGTAATACATTAACAGAGTGGCGAAACGCCTTACTGCCAAGTTAAAGTAGGATTTCGCTTCGATCAGAATTCGTTTAATTTTTACTAATTCACACTTTACATGCCTTTTCGCATTTTTGCTATTTCTAACTACACTAACAGAAACAAAACAATAATGTATGTATTTGCAGCTCCGTCAATTGTTGTGTAGGTCTATTGTCGGTAACCTCAGAGACAGCCTTGGTTCCAGACAAGGCAGCTTGCTGGAGGGCGCTGGTAGAAGGCCGAGCAATGTTATTCTTGGCCAGAGTTCTGGGCTACGAGACGAGTGGATGGTACTTACGCTGCAAGCATGCAGGTGTTAATTAGCCAATGTACGGAAACAACTCTGCCGCAATAGAACAAACGTATATTGTGCCTCGAATTATTCATTTTTCAAAACCATTGAGTGGATTTTTAAGGGCGAAAAAATCCTTCGTACGCCTTCCTTCGGAGGGGAAGTAAAGCCGGTTGCCCCATGTTAGTAGATTTACTTGCATGTAAAAGATTCTCAAGCCTAAATGACGCCTCTGAGCTAAATTCAAATCGCCTGTTTCTCGCCCAAGAAATACCTCCTTTCTCTGCTAGTTGGTGAAAGGAGCGTAGCGAAATTTGCGTGGTCAGACGGAAGAGCAGGTCTAATGGCCTGCGTCTGGCCACTTAAATAAGGCATCAATTCAATTCAATGAGTAAGCTACTTCACGTTATTGTAATCAAGTTCATTGTCTAGTATCTATTTCAATCAAAAATTGAAAAATGATGTATTGCATACTGATTTTAAAGAAATCAAAGAACAGCGATAACTATGTTTGTATAAGTATTTATTGTTATAAAATCCAACTAGTAGCTTTACATATTTGTAATTTTATTTGAAAAGCTACTGCTAGCAAATACAGATGTGACAGTTCAAATAAAGTGGCGTGCAATAAGAATCAATTATTCTGACGACGGGGTATTTATTTAGTACTGATTTAATAATTGTAAAAGTGTCAGTAATCGCTACAAATGTTTTTGATTCATAGACCTGTTATCGTGGTGGTGATGTAGGTGACAAACAGTAGGGGAGACCCTTGTACCCTCGAACACAATTTACATTTTAATTTTTTATGACTGCTAGAACAATTTTTTTCTCCATCTTTTTGTCGCCCTCCATACTTTTGACTTTCAGAAAAGATGTAAATTTCTCACAGCGCGAAAGTTTAATATTTAGGGTAACCAAAAATTAAAACTATAAAGTAATTTCTGTGTTCGTAGGTACAACAACCCGTTGTATCTAAGAACAGGTATCGTTGTATTTACGAACATACCATTGTACGTACCAATAGCTCTATGAGTACCTTTTTGCGTCCTCGTCCAACAGTTGTGCTGGGAGGTGCCTTAGGAAAAGGAATCAGCATTTCAAGTGTTACCAAAACAGTCAAAGATGGAGAGCTCCTGTTCGTAGGTACAACGCTTTTTATGTTCGTAGTTACAAATTATGTCATTTTTTTTACTTTTGGCGTCTGTTGAACCTTCTGCTCTATAAATATCGCAGAAATATCAGAAATAAAACAGCCAACTTATACCAACTGAAGTGAGCATGACTTTTATGCATCACATAACTACAAACATGAGAAAATGTAAGTTTTGAAATGATTCTCGTTTGTACCTACACCAAAAAAAATGGGATTTTGACTTTCGTCTTTGTTCGATTCGCCCAACTCTTTTCAAGCAACGCACTCCTGGGCTCTACTCCCACGCTTGCTAAGCTTACCCGAGATTTCAGGAGCCGTGTTCGTAAGTACAAATGTTCATAAGTACAACGGTCTCCTCTAATATTCCAACGTTTATTTAAAGCAAAAAATAATTAAAAGAGTAACTGAGAATAATTATCTCCTTGTAAAACTTGAGGTAATTCTTTATCCATTAACAATTCTCGTTAGTCAGTTAAAAAATAGATAAAGTAGTAGGGATAATTTTGCTTTTCTTAATATTGTCAGGGAAATTTTATTTGGTGTAGGGTAGGGTCGGGTTTTATAGAGTCTGAGATTCTACAATAAAGAGAAATTTATTATCTGTCGTGGAAATGTGATTTTTGTTATTCGCAGACGACGATTCTGCTAGTGATTCAGAGTCTGAGGATGTGGAGGACTAAGGCGTACTTCTCAAACTTCCACAAACTACGACGACGACAAAGATGACGGAAGCAATTAATAACACGAAGAAGGAGGGTTGAATGGACGATGAAAAAAACAACAACCGTGAATTAAAAAACAGAAGAAAACTCAAACGAAAGGGGCAGAGAGTCAATAGAAAGGCAAAAACGCAAGGAATGGCGAACCGACCGAAAATGAATTTGAGATATTTTACAAAATGCGCAATACATTTGATCAAGTCTTATAACCTATGTAGAAAATGGCGCGATTCGGAGGAGCGAGAGGTTTAGCATTAGAACCGCTCGAAAAGAGAATAATTTGCAGTGATTGGCAGTAATACAAATAGAAAGAGAAGAAAAAACTTTTTTGAGGGAAACAAATTATTAAATATAGTTTACAATAAATGACAGGACATTTGTGTATTTAAAACTCATACCGTAATATTTTCCACATATCAAAACATGCAAGAGAACAATTATTTTGTTTTAATTTCGAGAATTGTCTTTACATGGGAATAGGTAACCAGAGCTTGTTAATTGAAGTTGTGGATGAGTTCTATCAATGGACTGTAAGAAAATGTGTCTCGTCACTTTTGTGTAAGCATACAATCTTATCAAACTTTGTTGTAATATAAATATTTTATTGTAAATGAAATAAAAGTAATATTTGGTGACTTATAAAGGTGTTATATATTTCCACGTACACAGTTCTATTACAAATGAACGCTGATTTTCTGAAAGTACTTTACAAAAAAGTGTTTTCGATCATTGGTATACCTTTGTATATACTTTGGAAATGCCTAAAAATTGAAATTTATAACATATTGAACCTTAGTTATTAATAATTGATGAACTTTTAATTTAAGAAATAGTAGTTTAGCGGTGATTCCTGTTTGACGTCATAAAAAATCATTTTAACAAATATTTTAAACACACATTGGAAGTATAAATGCATTTATTACCACAGATGTCATTGGTGAAAAAATAAGAAAATAAACAATAACATTTTTATTTTAATTTTTTTAAAGTCATATTGTAAGTGAACATTCTTTTATATAAACAAAAACAAGAAAGTACCACCAAGAACTGTGGGTAACGGCTTTATGAGTTCATCTGCAGGGGATGTAATGATTGGTCGAAAGCTTGCATCAGTCGCCCCTTGCAGATCGGTTGCTTTTCTGTTCAAAATACTGCAAAACTGTAACAGTTAAATTCATCTGTGCTTCATTTATTAAAGTAAGGAATGGCTACTGTTCCTGACTATCAATGTAAATGCAGATATTCAGTACAAGTGCTTCGTTTGAGTTGGTTCATTTGGTCTTTTCAAGTAATAACTGAGGTGACACTAGGGCGGAAATCGCAATATTCCAATATTACGTAAGTGTTTCAATAATGCAAGAAAGTATGTGCTTGTGCAACTTCTCTTGTTTGTGCATGCTAGACAATCCCTTATCACATTTTCCAGATGCCGTTTCCGTAAAATTGCTTTTATTGTCACAAACAGTATCTAGAACGCAATCTTCATATTTAGTTGGATTATGAATTGAAACGTAATTTTCATCCCCACTGTCGCCTAAAGCCCGACGAATTTCATCAGTCAAACCCTTAGTTATTAACAAACAAAGGCAATAAAAATAAACAAACAAAACATAATTACAATGACGCACTTAAAATACAATTCTACGTGCGTTGTTATTGAGAAGTAGTTTATAAATATTAGCAGCAATTTTGAAATGAAATCTACAACAGATACAAAACCATTACCCAACATCTGTAATACTTGCGCAAAGAACATTTAGTACTGATAATATGAACTACAACGGCAAGAGTTTATTAAGATTCCCGATTACAGGCAAGTTTCATCGGGTTCAAATATACATTTGTATATTTTTTGAAAACACAATAGAAGACAGTAAACATTTTTTTATGTTATCTTAAAGAGTGCTATTAGCACTATCGATAAGAAAAGTTTGAAGAAAACATTTTTAGCAGCTTTTGAGGAATTTGTGGTTGAGCACTTCTGAAAATAAGAAAATGTGAGCTTGTTTTCACAGAAAAGGTTTGAGCTCACATGAAAACTATATAAGACATTAGTTAAATGTCCTGCAATAATGTAAACAAAACGCCGCTAATGTAAATATTACCGACGTGAAAAACAAGTCTGAAAATATACATTTTGCTGTGCATTTACCACTTTGAGTAATTCTTGAAAAAACAAAAAAATATACCGGAATGGACTTTTCGTCATATTAAAGAGTGCAATTGTCACTATCGTTCAAAATGTTTGAACAAAAAATTGAAGCATTTTTTGAGAATAAGGTGTTTGAGCGTTTCTTAAAATGCGGAATTTTGAGCTAGTTTTCACGGAAAAGGGTTGCGGTTTGGAGAAAATTTTTATATAATTGTTTAAACCACATGTACTCGTAAATATAATAATGAAGCATTAACGAAATGAGAGACAAGTAAAAAAAATACACTTATGTAATTTTTTGAAAAAACAAAAGAATAGAGCAATGATGATAATGCCATCTCATTTTGCGATATCCCTACCAAAAGTTAAAGTCGTTTTTGATAAAATCTGTTTTTTTATGATTTTTTAATATTGCACTTATTGGACGCAATTTGGGCGAAATATAATACAATTTTCAAAAAAAGAATGTACAAAAACGCAATAAAAGAACTAAATATGGAGAACAAATTTTATTTTAAGGAAAATCTTTATCTTCAATATTGTAGTTATAAGGCGGGGAAAAATTCAGTCTATTGCAATTTTCAATAATCCAGAGTTATCAGTGAAAATAGGACTTATGCAACCCTAATAAGTGTATTTTATTCCGTATATACAAGAAATTTAAAGGAACAATTTGAAGCCATTTTTTTGAAAACTTAGAAAATGTTCTCGTTGATTCATACAAAGCACCTCCCAAAATAATGAATGATGTTCAAAATCGTAGTGATTTGACTGAGTGTAAATGAACAGGGGTTTATAAATGTGGAAAGAATCGCACTTAATGATTAGGCGCTGATATTGTTCACGCAAGGTCCTCGAGGTGGCTGCTCAAGGACCAACTTCATAATGTCAATCTCCTTGCCCTGTACAAGAGGCCCTTGCCCTAATAGGGATTAAACGAGCTAATAGTAATAGTAATTGTTCACATACACCAAACAGACAGATAGACGGACGGACGGAAGTTTGTTTTTAAAAAAAGGCATCAGGGGACCCAAAAACCTGTATTTCTGTTTAAAATCTCGAAATCGATTTTCCGCAGCATTTCATAACTTTCTCTATACTTCATATAATACTCCGTATATACGGGAAAGTAAACATTGTTTAAGTGAATGAAAAGAAATATATACATATTTGAAACACTAAAAGTGTTTTAGAGAGAATTTTGAGCAGTCTACTCAACCAAATTTTGGGTGCTTTTCTTCAAATAAAAAATCATGGACCTGAGACGTGTTAACTTTTGCGCTTTTTGATAGGTTTTATAGAATGAACACTAAAGTTAAGAAATGTTTTAAAATATAATGAATGGATTTTTACTATTCTTTGTTTAGAACGTCGTTTTCAAGACCAACTGCGTAGTTAGAATACAGTGGGTCTTGATCGTTTTTTTGCAAGATGCAGTCACTCTATAGATTGCAGTCGGCGTTTTGGGGTCTGGCGAAAGTGTGTTGGTGTGAGTTAACGTATGAAAGTGAAGATAGAAATTTCATTAAGTTTGAAGATTGAGTGTTTTTAATACAATGATTAGTAACAGTATATAAACGCAATGTCGAGGAATAGACTGATAACACGGTAAATATAAAACATTTCAGTAACACTTTCAGACATACGTTTAACTCTGTGTAATTACTGATTGTATTACCCAGTAATTACTGATTGTATTGCTCCAGAATTTGAAAATATCCCTCATTTCATTAATGTATTACAGAATGAGTAATGAACGACAGGAAACAATATTATTGGGATTTCCGTATAGTGCATATGTAGTAATTTTCGTTTGTAACTTTTCTACAGCTCTTTGTGCGGTGAAATCGCAAGAGTATAGCCAGTAATTTGATTAATATGTTTGTATTCAGAAGTGCAGCCTCTTAGTTAATTTTGTTGTTTGTTGTTTCTTGGTAACGTGATCGGTGCGTTTCATTTAAACGGAGCCCAATGCGGGCCTAATAACAGCTAAATGCTCTACCAAGTATTTTAGAAAAAAATGAATAAAAATACCTGAATGAATCATAATTGAAATACCATAAACGATAAAGAGTAAAAAGAGAATCATGGATTATATAAGGTAGGAGAGTAATAAATAGTTGTTAATTATTTCCCAACATCATGTTTTTTTCAAATTTATTACATTCTATAATTTCTGCATATTTTTTTTAAATTTTAGAGGATTCGAAAGTTACAGAGAAAATTATCACTTAATTAGATTTAAAAATACATTGTAATACCTATGGTTTAAGAGAATTGTACTACATGTACGTTCACCTTTTGCAAAGATATGGTCGTTTGATCAACATTTGTCTATTCACAAACTTTTACGCCCATTATTTAATGTAGAAAATGTACACTTATGTTACCAATAATTGACTGCATTACTACATAATTCAACTCTAAACATAGTCGCATATTAAAAATGATACAATAGTTGAATGAATGTTAATGAAATTTAAATAATATTGAAACAAATAACATTGATAAAGATTTTTTTATTAAAATCAGCTTTGCATGACCGTTCAGAAAACAAGTTTCTTAAAAACAGGAATCTGATTGTGTCACTCTTGTCTTTTTGAGATCCCGAGTATCAGGAAATAAGTTCGCGACCAGCACATTCATGCTTTTTTGCTTGGTAACAACATAATTGTTTAAGTTTCTATAGAGGCAAAAATAATCATTCAAATATAGGCTATTAAATTTTCTGATATCGTACCCAGAAGTATCGCAACCAACGGAACAGACGATATTTATTTTCATTTAATTGACTTTTGTTGGCAGAAAATTCCTCGGCTTGTCCTCTAACGACTACGTTGATCACAATTACAACATTGAAGATGCTGATGATGTGATTGGTGCATTTCCGTTTTTCGCGAGGCATTCCCTGGGGATAAACCAACGCAATTCTCCGGCCGGTATAGACGATTTTCCACCCGCGTGGCTGGAAACCGTCGCGCTAGCGACATACGCCGAAATGATGAACTCCATTATTGAATTCTTCAGCGTCACCCCCGAGGAGTGGGGATCGCCGACCTGCGGGACCTGGCCGGACAGCCCCACCGACGTTTACTGGTGGCCGACGGAGTTCTACCAACAGAAGCCAGAAGACTACGCCGATCCTCTCAGCATAACTCTTTGGCCGGAGGATTCTGTTCCAAAACTTCCCAACATGTTTGGTGCCATTAAACGCTTCGCTGCCTACACCCCTGACACATCGGATGACGTCGCAACAGAGATTATGAAAATTCCGTGGGGTTGAGTTGTTTTGTGATTGACAGGATAAATGATAGAGTCAGTGTCTGAACTAAAGTAAAACTGTTGAGCATTTTGCAGTGGCTTAACATCTGCGTTTCAGGTCATCTGAAGCCACGTCGTTTGATGAATACTCAATATCGGAAGTGAATAATTTTGAAAATAAATGAAGGTACAGCTGGATGAAGAGTGTCGTGTAGTGTCACAAATATTTGAAAGGCGTTTGCGTTTAAAATGTTATTAAGTATAATGAATATCTTTTAAAATATTATTTTCATATCCATGGTTCTTTAATAAAAATAGTAAACATTTGTTTCTTGTCATACATTTTTCTATTATTTTGTTGATTTTATCATGTAATCAATTGGGTTAACATAGCTTTATCAATATTATTTTGATTATGATATGCTTTTTTGATGACGAAGATATATAAGCAGTGATGTGCTTATCGTTTTTAGTCCTATCACGCAATTCCTTTCGAAAAGAATTGAAAGTGCCATCGTCAGTAAGAAAGGTACGAATTGACAATCATGTATGTAGAGATCACTTCCTTAAGACACCTTAAGACACCTAATATTGTTAATTTAATACAATGCGTTTATTATTTTAAACAAATTTGACATACAAAAGAGGAACAGTGTATTTTTACGGAAAATGCAAGTGAACAGATGTGTAAGTATTTGATGCACAACGTTTTTCAAACAGAAAGGAAGAATGGTATAATGTCTGAGAAACCTGCCGATTTGATAATACGTACTAAAACACAATCTTTTAGCAGGTGTTACTTTGGTATTACGAACAGTTTAAAAATTATGCTATAAATGTTCGCAAGAATACGAACATACAAATGGAGAGGAAGATGGTTGCAAAACGGGAAACTATTACTACCAATACAGAATTATAACTCTTGTTCAGGATTCATTAATGCATATACGTCTTGCTTCATGAAACAATTAGAAAAAATAGGTTAGGTTCGGGTTATTAGGTAATGGGTATTTAAGTGTCTGGAAAATAGTATTAGTTTGTACTAAGTAGAATGGAGTCCAGACCGTTTGACAAATAAGTGAAAACAGAATGGTATAAATTGTTATGTAAGTGAGGCTTGTAAGCGTTAGATTCGCGGACGATTTTCTGTGTCTGTTTTGTGGCACTTAATATGGCGACGTCTGAATGAAGAAATCACGTGATGTTCACACCTGGTTGTAATTAATTTAGAAAGCGAGTGATAGGTTAGGGCATATTCATCTGTTGCCACAGGTTCCCTCTTTTAGGGATCTTTTCCTCAGCTGTGCCATATAACTTCTTTCCGCAGTTTCGATGCGATGGAGAAGTCAGAGTATCATAATTTTTGTAATGGCATGGACATTGTCCCAACCACACAGTATCAGGTTATGTAGTTTATATGGGTAATAAATGGTTTACTAAATAAAAAGAACAGGAGGTATATGTCAAATACAGTATCTAATGTACTATCAATGTAGCAAATACATCAGAATGAGTCTACGTAGCAGAGCGAGAATACTGTCAAATGAGCAGCACGAAAAAGAGATGTACAGAGAAGTCGAGAACAATGGGACAGGAAAGTCTTTTCACAGTGGTACCAGTAGCTGGTGAAAGTTCTACCACCATAAATTATGTTGGAAGCACGAGCTTCAGCTTGTAACAAATGAAAACGCAAATTGAGTATTAACCACAATCATAAAATACGCTGAAATTATTGTGTCCTTCACTTGTTTCCCAGTGATTTTGTTGCTACTGACATAACTGTAATTTCTGATAATAACTCCTTGATTTCGCTCGTGCGGAGAGATTTTCCTGGTGTACTGCATTTCACTTATCCGACAAAAAGTTAAGCAGCAAGAAAACTCTCTCTTTTAATGAGCCTCGTGAACGAATAATGAAAATATTGACTAACACTACTAAGTACTTAGAAATGGATATCACTTTATGATTAAAATACGACCACAGGTTTAAGATGTAAATGTATTGCGGTCAGCAGACTTTATGTATCAGTCGCAATATCGTGTAAGGGACATAATTCTGGATTCCCACGTTTCACATCCATACCGTGAAACTGGGAGGGTCATAAAAACAATTTTAACTGTGTTTCTTTTCGTGCTTCCTTTTTAGAAGATCTACTTAAAAGTTCCGCATATTTCTTGAAACTTATGGATCTTGCTGGTGATCTCCCCATCTCTTATACATGTAATTTCACACCCTACGTAGTTAAAAGGCGTTAGTTGTTCTAAAACCATATTTTGAAGCCAAATATTTTTCCTTACTGATTCTTTTATTTAAAGACATTGCTTTGGTTTTATTAACTAATACCATCAGATTGTACTTCACAAAAATTTGTTCCAGATGGTAAATAGATCTTTGCAAATCTTCTTCGTTTTTCTGCAGAATCACCTGGTCGTCAGCATATAAAAGAGTATTTAAAGATGTATTTTTGCCCAGTGAATTCCTGAGGGCACCATGCTTTAATTATTCACCTTTTAATTATATATGCCAGATATGTTAAAGAGTGTTGGCGAGAGACTGTCTCCCTTCTTTACTCCTTTATTTATAATCCTCTTCTCGTAAACAAATTAATTGTATTTCATTGCGATATTAGTATCATCGTTTGACGTTATCAAAAGCCTTCTCAATATTCATGAAGGTTAAATGTGATTTTTCTGTTAAATTCCACTCGTTTCTCTATTACATGTTTTCATGTAAATATGTCATCTATAATTGAATGACCTTTTACTAAACCCCCGATGTTCATGATATAGAATGCAGTGTGAAATTGGAGCTATTCTGTTATTCTTAATTTTTGCGTATACTCTGTAATATGAGTTAAGTAAACGAATACTCCTATAGATGCAACATTTACTTTGAACTCCTTTTTTAAAACATGCCGTAATTAACGATATCTAACAATTCATCTGGCATTGCATATCTTTGCATGCATTCATTCATTAGGATGAGCAGCCGAAATTTTATTAACATACCTCCATATTTCATATTCATTATTTATTAATTCTATGTTAACGCCATCAGGACTACAGGTTTTCCTATTTTGGGGAACTTTAATTCATTATAAAGCTCTTCCAAATATATCTACATTTCCTTTTATTCCTTTTCTTCATCCGACGTATAAATTACTTCAATCCCATTCCACAAGTTTACAAAGTAGTTTTTTTTTCAAACATCACTTTCATTTGTTTCAAATGAAGAATTGTATAAAGAATTTGATCTATCCACAACAGCCAATTATATTATTTTTCCACTTATATTTCTCCCCATGAGAGACAGGTAATTGGAGATTTCTTGCAACGGGTCGATCGAACGAATGTCTCAAGTATTCTACTGTAATATCACCCCAAGTTCTTGTCAAAATAATTCCGGAGACATGTGAAGCCATCTAAAACGTGCTTAAAAGAAAGAGTATCGTAGGCTTAGTCTCACTAGTTAACACTATTGTACACGTAAGTACAAAGACGACCAATGCTCTCTTTTCAAGGAACTAGCCACAGCTAACTTAAAACTGTACAGGCGTGCCAGAGTGACTCACACTCATGCTCAGGTCTACACGCCTGCGCAGGTAGAAAGAATCGAATTTCGAATGTTCTCCGCCTGTACAATTCGGCCTCCGACCGCTGGAACTCTCTTGGTGATAGAGGCAAACCTCACCGGTACACGTGTGTGCCGGGCCGTGAACTGTACGATGCAATCTCAAATTGTTATAGATTATACTGAACTAAAGAAAGAAAAGGTGAGAATATTATGAAGAATAATATCTTATTGATTTTAATTTTAGCTCTTAGTTACAAAGAGATGTACTATTCTGGTTGGAGAAAGATTTTTTGGCCTTACCCCAACACATTTATATTAATCTGGTAATATTCGGTAAAAATAAATGGTATTGAGAAGTCGACGGCGGTAAAACGACACTCCGCATGAAATGAAGTTTGATGTCCAATTCTCATAACAAACTAAAGCACAGAGAAGAAATTGCACCGTTGCCGACGGTCAACTGGACAAGCAGCAATATATTTATAAGAGCTAGCCAGAGTCACATCCCCGCTGCATAGAATACGCTACGAACCGATGACGGTTTTTTACAACTTATAAGAAACCATTGACATAAAACTCCGGTGTAGTTTTGCGTTGCTGAATAGACCAATTGGGTTCCCCCAGTCCTGATTCGTAGATTAAAGTCGAGAAATAGAAGTAACAGATTACGCACAGGCGCACATGCAACCCACAACACACATTACGCTGAAGCAATACCATCGTGTATGACTCGCAAATGATGCATTTTATGGTTTTAAAAAAGGAAGTGGAATAAAAGAAGTTGTAAGAGTATTGAAGATACCTTCAAATATTGGTAAAGAGAGTCGGTGTAAAAGTTGGGTATTTGGTAATAGTCAAAATGAAATTATATGGTTTATGCCATTTGGTAAAGGAGATTTTTTGAAAATTGATAGGTGTATGGCCTCGTCCTCTCTCTAGCAACGTGATGCGGGTGGAAGATGATTCAGAGTTCCCCCTCTTATGTATAATGGAAGGAGAATTGAGAGGATTGTCTGGAGTCAGTGTCATAAAGAAAATAATATCGGTAGAAAAGGTCTTATTGGACCTATGGGACTCATTTTAAAAGTATTTCTGGATTCCCAGACTCTATAACTTGTGTATACGGAAAGTGGTAAGTAAGTGGCAATAGCAATTGGTTTAAGGTCGTTAAAGGTCTGGGTTTGGAGTACCTGGGATAAGGTGAAATGCTCTGCGAACGAATGTGTTTTCGGATCATTAAAGAAAGTAATGATTCCCTGGCGCATGCGTGGCCAATTCTCTGCGTGCAAACGAGACAATACTGCTTATGCAAACAATGCATGTAGCAAAATAACCAACTAATTTTTGAATTGGCCAGATTTGGACATTAGCAATAACATTTATCTTAAAAAAAACAACAAAAAACCTAAAAGTGAAAATAGTATATAAGCTACACATTCAGATATTTGAAATTATAAACTTAGTACTTTCAAATGCACTACAATGATAAACTGAATAGAAAGATCGCAAATTATTAATTTTCGTTAGAAGCTACGAGTTAGGCTTTCAAGTCAATTTTATCTGCATGCATTCCTTAAAATTATTGGTAGGTGCTCCTAATATCATTTAGCAGCATCTATAAATTACTGGTGGGAGAGAAATATCGGCAAACACACATGACTGTGGAGAAAACGATTAAAACCTGAAGACAAAATACGAATCATTAAGATTTTGTGCATA